TCCTTCAGTCTCTCATCACTGTTGCCATTCCTGTGGATAATCATCCAGATCATCCAGTCAAGTCTCTACCTCTAGACTATGTGGAAGTCTAGACATTGTGGTAGTTTAGTTGTGGGTTACAAATCTGACTGAATGTCAGATTTGGTAACTCAACTCAATCACCTCAGTCCACAATGCGATAACTTTGATTGCATGTTAGTCCAACTTGGTTCAAAAAGAGAGATTGCATTTATTCAATCACGCTTCTTTGTAATTCAATTAGTTGAACCAATGTGCAATCAAAATTATTGACCCTTGTTGACTTAGGTGGTTGAGTTGAGTCACAAGATCTGACTGAATGTCAGGTCTTGTGACTCAACTGAATCACCTCAGTCAACAAGCCAATAACATGATAGCACATTAGTCAAACTTGGTTAAAAGAGAGACATTGGATTTATTAACTCATGCTTCTTTGTAATTCAATCAACAGACAGCTTTGGTGTGGCAATCCTCAGGTCCAAAACCTGCTTCAAACTGTCCCAGATTCATCATGTTGCTTGTCCTTGGTAGTTGAAAGAGTTGGGGACTGATAACCCAAAAGGCTTTTGTAACCCTAAACATATTGATTCATGTGATCTTTGGTGAGGTGTTGCTCAAGGAGCTCTTGATTTGGTCAATGAGTAATATTCTCAATATCTGTCAACTTATGTTTTGCTGTAGAATCTTTGGAAGGGGCTCAGAAGGATATTTGGTTGTGGCTTACCTGGAAATCACTCATACCTTCCAAACATTCTCAAGTCTTCATGTGTGGACATGCAACCAAACTTTATTTCAGTTCATTTTGGAAGATTGTTTGTCTGCCCCTCTAGGCCAAACATTGAGATTGTTTTGAGATTGTTTTGAGATTGTTTTGAGATTGTTTTGAGATTGTTTTGAGATTGAATTGAGCTGGACGTACTCACTGGCCTGCCAGTGAGTAGTAAAATGTCACTGTGAGCAATAAAGTTTCCCGCTTGCTTATTCGCGTGTTGATGACCATGGGTCACCCACTCTTGGCCTCCTTGGTAGCCATAAGCATTGTTACTCGCGTAATTAGGTGCGTAGTTAGAATAGCCTCCGCTTTGTTGGAAACCTTGGTATTGATTTCCATATTGATTACCGTAAGCGGGCCTTTGATGAAAGAATGGTTTCTGATACCATTGACCTCCATTCCTATTACCTCTTCCTCTTCCTCTCATTTCCTCCTGAATTTGTCCCATCTTCTACTGATTGAGGACCTAAATGAACTCTTGATGAACTCGCTAAAGCGTTTGATCTCACCACTGGTTGTCCGGTGTAAAAGTCATACCCGTGCTTCTTTTGACCTGGTGCGTAGGGATTCTCCTCAAATTTTAAATCACCGGCTGTTTCCGCATCCCATCTCGCTCTCCTCACAGCTTCTTCTTGTACTCCGTCAGGTAGGACCACTTTTTCTACTTTCTTCCCTCTCTTTCCGTTCTTCTTCTTCTTGTACATGATTCTAGATCTCTTCCTGAAGATTAGCGCTCTGATTGCTAAATGATACCTGAGTCCGATCATCCAGCACTTATGAAGAACCATCAATTGATTAACAACTTCCTTATGTTTCGCTATGTATTTTGCATAGGCGTCGTGTCCGTAAAGTTCGGACGCATAGCGTGCTTCAAGATCGCAGGCTAAGATAAATTCTCCGTAGGTCATTTGACGTTCTAAATCGCGCTCTGAAGTCTCCATGTTGAAACCTTTCCTTGCTTTCTTAGATCCATCATCTACCGTCGAATGATAAGCGTTGATATAGGAGCGTCTGAAGACCGACAGCGGGACGTATTTCTTCAGTTTCTTGTAACACTTGTCCCAGTAGTCCGGTAAGTCTGGTAAGTCTAAACCAGCAAGAGCCTTAAGTTCGAACTCGACGTTGGCTTTGGACATCAACACATTGTCGTTGGTTCTAGACAATAAATCACCATTGCCTCCCGACTCTGACGACGAATCTGAGGAGGAAGAGGAGCTAGAGTCTGAAGAAGAAGAGGAATCTGAGGAATCTGAATCTGACGAAGAAGAAGAGGATGAACTATCTGAGCTAGACGATGATGAGCTGCTCTCTGAACTCGAAGCGTGGCGATGTTTTTTCTTTTTCTTGCTTTTCGAGCTTTTGTGAGATCTAGATTTCTTCTCGTCTAATCTTTTCTTTATTGATCTCTCATCTAATACTCTCTTTTTCTTTTCTTCCTTAGATCTCTCCTTAGCTTCTCTTTTCTTCGCCTTCTCCATCAATTTCACTTCTCTCTTCAACGCTTTGAGTTCTTCTTCCTTCACCATTTCTCGCCTCAGGATCTGGATCAAGTCTACGTCTGTCCCATCAATGGCTTCCACCATCCGATCAATCAGTGGTCGTTTAGGGTTGGCTTCAGGTCCGCTTTGGTCGTTCACCAACAACCCTTCGGGTTGGGCGTGTGCTGGTAGCGAGGATTGAGTTTCCTGGATTCGCGTGCTCCCAGATAGGTTTGGTGTTCCTACTATATACGGATCAACCCCCAAACGTACACCGTCAGTTCAAAGCTCTAACCTGTCTTTCTCGACGTAATAGAGTTATTTGGTAGGATGGGGGGGGCGGAAGGGAATTCCACTAGTTTTCTACACGTTATGAGTTGAGTGATTTCTGCAGGAGCGTGTCTTTTGCGCTTCTCTGCCGCCGTCATTAATATTCTGTTTCTTCTGCAGCTTCTACAACTCCATTTCGGGCTACAGCTACTACCCTGATCTTGGGGAGCCGCAATGCAGTCAGGTCTTGAAACACCTAATCACTCATCTGTGATGGCTACTAACCGTGTCGGGAGCTTAAGTTATTCAGTTGCCATCTTCTTCTCTCTTTAGAGTTTCCAAGAAGAGGTTCATTTCTGGGAGCCCTTGAGGGCTTCTACCTGATGGGAGCTCCATGCGCTACTACCAACCAAAATTCTAGCATGACGGGAGCTCTATTACGCTACAACCGTTCTGTACACGAGGGCGCCTAAGACTTCCTCACTCGGATGTACAAATAGATATGGAGAAAAAGGTTGGGGAATTGATAGCAGAAATCTACTTACTGTGATTGTCCTCGATCAACCCTGCGTAAAGGATCTTATTATTCTTCAACTCCTGATCAACTTTAGGTGCGTCTAAATCCGGGCTCTTTCCCCTCTTTTTCTTCCCTTTTGCTTTTGACTCCTTCTTAAGATTCTTTCCCTTCTTCTTCACCACTTCCTCTTCACCTGATGATCCTCCATTACTCTTCTCGTCTTCATCACTGATGTCAACAATAAGCTTATCCTGAATGATTTCCTTCTGTCCACTCGACTCTCCTTCTTGGATTGACTTACCCATCAGATTGTTGGTCTCTGGAGGATCGATCTCCGTTCCTATGATGGGCGGCTGGTTGGTTTCTTGTCGCGGCAACGTTAAGTCTGTCGAAGATGTGTTTGCTCCCGGATCTCTTGAGCCAGCTCTCTTCTCCCTCTCCAAGGCTTGTTCTTTTAATCTTAAGGCATGGTTTGCCTTCTTCTCTTCTTCTAGTCTTGCTGTTTCTGCCATCTTTTTGGATTGAAATGAAGTTAAAGATTTTTTCGGTTTAAGTGGTCTCCACATTCACAACGCTGAGATTCGAATGTGTTCTTGTTATGGTGATTGGATGAATTCAGAGTAGTTCTTCTTTATTTCTATTTTTGAAATTTTCTAAGTGAAAAACGTAGAAAAGCAGAAACTTGCAGGAGTGACTAGGACTGGCGGAGGGAGATTGGAGAGGAGAGGAGGAAAATTTTCCTCTCTCTTCCTTCCAAATTCCAGTAGCCGTAGATGACATCTTCGGCCGCCTGTGATACCTCCGCTCTGCCTGTCACTCCTCCCTTCTGGGAGTGGAATTCAGTGTACCGTCGCGGGCTAGGAACACAACCAATTTGCGTAAATTTACTGCTCCGAAGGAGATCCGGAAGAGATTTTTACGGTCCTTTTTTACAAATTGGGAAAAGTTTTTACAGCACGGTACCATAAAAAACTTTCCCCAATTTTTTAAGAAAAGGTTGCAAATATTTTGACTTGAGCCCCCTCATTATACAACCACGGCTAAGTTTTTTTTGAGTTATAACATAAAAACTTGGCCGTTTGATAGTTTTTTTTTGTTATAAAAAATCAAACTTGACACCCCCTATTCTCAACGGGCTCATTGAAGTCTTGCTTTTGAACCTGCAGTGAAAAGTGAAGAGCATAATTGCTAGCAGTGCTTTTCATATATCAATTTCATTAACAAAACGTAGGTTTTGAATCAAAGACTTCAACTCTGAGTCTCTGCAAAAGGAATTTGACGGCAATATGGACAAGATGTAGAAAGGGATAAGCTAACTAAATTCATGAGGCAACTGAAACACATTCGATGAGCGGAGTGACAAGGGAAGCTAACATCTCTATCGCCATCTTCGTACTTTTCGGCGCAAATTTCACATTCTGGTCCGTTATCTTCGGGCTGAGCGTTGTCCGTGGAACCAGAGTCTTGCGCAGGGCTGGCGTCTATTGTCGGATTAGGTGGGAATTCAACTGGTCGAGAAAATTCATCTAACAGTGTCACATAAAGCAAGATTCCATACCACTCACGTGTTCCGGGATCGGGGAAGTCAAAATCTGGAGCAATATCTGGATCAAGACTGTCAGCAATCATACGCAGATGGCCGGGAAGTTGTGTCCTCAGAATTTGCGCATTTGACATTATCTCTTCTGGATCATCGCCTCGCCAATCACCCGAGTCTTGCATGTCTAGGATTTCTGCTTCTATTGTAAATAGCTCTTTTATATCTCCAACTATTGTGCGGGTATCATCTGGATCTGTGATTGCCAGGTCCAGCAATTCTTGAACGATGTAAATCTCTTCAACTAGGTTTTTGTATTGTTGATTGGGAACATTTGGGCCATGTGCCATGGTGTCTGTCTTGAAATTTGCGGGTTTTTTCGATTAGTTGCAGCGAAGTTCGTTGAAAGTCGATTGTCGAAGGTTGCGCAGGGGTAAGAATCCTTGAAGGAGTGGTATTTTATACAACCTAGTTTGTTTATAGAAATAGAATAGGCGCGTAGATCAGCACCATGGAAAAGCACCATAACATTATCTCATTATATTCCATGTTTGCTTTTGTGGAAAAGCTCACCTTTTCTGAATAGTTACATTTCCAACGTCCTGAAATACAAATTCAGTATCTTCTTGGACAGGATAAAATCCGAATGTCATTGTTCTTCGGGAGGGTTCAGCCTTGTGGTCACTGAGTCCCGATTTTGAGATGTTCAAATGCAAAAAGTGATGATCAGTCATTTGTTTGCTTTGCCCCCCTCATTTGGCGTGCTATTCAAGTAAAGCCACCCAACATTGAAGAAAGCTGGTCTTTATCAATTTCAAAGAATGAAGTTAGACTCAATTCCATCATTTTCGATTATATCACCTTTTAGAAATGCCAAGTTCTGCTTTACTTACTCAGCTGAGAAAAGGCTACGTCGCAGACGTCTCTTTTCGAGTTGAGAACCTTGGTTGTTGACCTTTATTAAAAGCAAGAGGGCGTTCCGCAAGCATAGGTACGCTCCCGTTGTTGGAATGAATGTACAACATGTTGATCCGTTATCAGAAAACGATGTCCCGAGAGAAACGTAGGCCCGCCGTTGCTTCATCGCGTAAACAGGGAAGCAGGACCTTATGAAGGGGAAATGCTGTCCTCGTTTTCGAGATTCCTTTTGGTCAAGTACGATAGTGCCTATCAAATAGTCAGATTGGAGTCCGCGATGTTTGCTGAGATGAGTTGTGGAGAAGAGATTCAAGATTTACAATGAAGTTTTTGAACTTACTTAGGGATTATCTGGATCTGTCGTCACTCGGTCCAGTGAATTTTGGGCATTGTAGGTTTGGTCAACAAGATAGTCCGTTGTATGTCTGAACGAGAGCGTTTCGGTCATGTTCCATGATGTCTGTCTTGATATTTGGAGGATTTTTCAGCAATTGATACAAACTTACGTCAAACAGTTGATCACACTTTTTTCGAAGCTCCTAGAGAAGTGAAATGTCTCCAAGGCGTGAAAAGATAACTGTTACTTAGTTGCTTTGTAGGCGTAGAAAAGGCTCGCAGTTCTCTCTGGAGATCATATCTGCTCACCTTGACATCAGCTTCAACGGATTCGTGTCACACCCGTGAGCTGGATTTAGCCTGAATGAGACAATTTTTAGAACAACTGCTAACAGTGGCTATGATATATCAATTTCAACAATCAAATGCAAGTTTGAACACATATAAAAATTCAACTACTGCGTTATATATGGCTTTGTTCTACAATACGGGCATTCAGCAAAGACGGAACGAGCCTTTAACATAAAAACCATACACTTTGTACACATCCTATGCCGAACATGACAAGGGAAATTAACATCTTTATCACCTTCTTCGTACTTTTCGGCGCAAATTCCACATTCCGGCGTGTTTTCTTCTGCTTTTTGAGGGTCGGGGTCCCTGGCTTCAGGCGGAAATTCCACTCTGCGATAAGTTTCACTCATGATGCCAGAATAAGCCCAAATGCCATACCATTCAATAGATCCGACCTCAGGAAAATCGAAATCAGTAGAAAGACTTGGATCAATCGAGTTAGCTGTCTCACGAAGCCAGGCAACAAGTAGAATCCGCGATTCCGGGTCAACGTTTTCCTGCTCATCTTCGTCCTGCAGAGCCAAAAATCCCAACTCTACATCCAAGAGATCGCGAATATGGTTGACTACCCTTCGTGGACCTTCCAGCTCAGTGAATTGCTGGTCAAGCGCTTTTTGAAGGGCGTGGATTTCATCGACGAGATGCCGGTAAAGGTCATTGGGGACGTGTGTGTCTTGTGCCATGGTCTATGTCTCGAAATTTTGAAGGGATTTTAGCGATCGAAGCGTAATTATGGTAGAGATGGATGAGTCGTTCTCGAGAATTATGTTGGAATCAGTCTCTTGCAGGAACGGCATTGATTCTGTTAGCTAGTCCTTTTATAGCCGTCCGAAAGACTTGCGGTTCAGCTTCGTGGAAAAGCGCCAGAAGCTGATCTCAGCTATGTTCACTTGTTTCTTCCGTTGATAAGCTCACTTATCATGAAAAGTGTACATTTTCAACTATCATAAGTTCACATCCACAAAACGCTTTCTTCCAATTAAATCTGATCTCAGCTCGTGTGATTCTACTCACTTTCAAGTGGCGGAAAATAAGTAGGAAGTAACTTGAGGTTGCATTTCCTTGGGAGATGAGAGCTATTTATATACGCGAGCATCTCGGAGTGAGGTACGGATAAGGAAACGACAATCTGGTGATACAACGAGAGATGATCGACGATCATCGTGATACAAGATAAGTGGAGGAGGGTTATGGCCGAATCCGGTACTGCTGGATTCGGTCTACAATTAGTGACTTGAAAGGGCGGTACATGATCGGGACGGATCTGGAAGATCCGTTTACAAGTAAAGTAAAGAGAATAGAGAATAGAAAATAGAATGAAATGAAAAGCATAAAAGCAGAGTAATGCGCTAAAAGCGCGTACAATAAGAAACAAAGGGAAAGTCCAAATTAGGGAATCACACCATCCCCTCCTTAAGACCGTAAACTTCCTAGTTTACTTGCTGCGGTAGGATAGTTCCCTCAGTGCAACTAAATTCATGATTGCTAGTCTTTCCAAGTAATCCTCAATGAATTCTTTCGGGACCCATTCCAAACAGCTTTGAAAGTCTTCAAATGACATCATTAATTTACCTTTAGCTTCTCTCATGAGCAGTTGCATCTTGCTCATGAAGACGTTGGGAGGCAAAGAAAAATTCGTCGGAGGTTCCTTTGAATTTTTTAATACGAGAGCCATTGACTTTAGCCTTCAGAACATGGCCATTTGATGTCATTAGAGTGAACGTACCGTGGGGGTCGGCATCTTTAACGATGAAGGGTCCATCCCACTTAGGATGGAGTTTGGATGGGCGCCCCTCGAATCGCCGGAGGACTCTGTCTCCCGGGCGGAAGTTTCGTTCCGTATAGGATTCTTCTTGCGTCGCGGACCTTTCTTGCGCTTTCTGGTTGAGGTCGTCAATGAGGTCTTGACGGTTTCTTTGAAGCTTGTCGACTGCTAAATTGCGTTGGCGATGAATTAGTTCTAAGTTTTCAAGTGAATTGTCAAATTTAATGCTTACAGCTTCGGAAGGTAATCGAGCCTCTTCACCGTAAGCCATGTAGAAAGGGGAGGCTTTCATAGAGTGAGAAAAAGAAGCACGATATGCAAACAAGCAAGTGTTAAGATACTTGTCCCACAAGTTTTGGTTATAAGGGCTGCAAAACTTACGAAGGGCGTTGGTTAAGGTTCCATGGAATCTTTCGTCCAGTCCATTCGTCTGCGGATGGTACGGTGAGGTGTTCTTTTGCTTGATGTTGTTGTTCTTGAGGTAAGTTTTGAAGTTGTGAGAGATAAATTCTGAACCATTGTCAGTAATAACTTCTTCAGGCAATCCATGATTTAGAGTGATCTCTTTGACGAGGGCAACTGCTGCGTCTGAGGAAGTAGAACGAAGAGCTTTAGCGTAAGCCCAACCAGTGCCATAGTCGATGGCGGTAATGATATGTTGGTTCCCTTCAGGAGTCTTTGGTAATGGACCGACGAAGTCCATTCCCCATTTCCTGAAGGGTTTACCACGGGGTAAGTACTGGAGGGGCATACCTTGTTGTCCAGATGGTGCTGCATGCACTTGGCAAGGTTTGCATAAATCGATTACACTCTTGACAGTGTTTGAAATATCGGGGAACCAGTACTTGTTCTTGACGGCTTGAGTCACATCCTTGTAGTTACGATGCCCAAGATCTTCGTGAATTCGGTAACAGATTTTCTCGGCTTCAAGGCGACTAGTTGGTACTGTGAGTTGTTCAAGGTGGGGGTCTTCTAAGCAGATTTTGACCAATCGGTTCCCGTCTAAGATGAAATCACCGGATCCAATGATGGTTGGGTCCATGCCTGATTGGAGTTGCATCTTGTATTTCAATAGTTCGCGGTATTCAGCCTCAAAATCTTGAATCGTAAATAATGAGGGAGCGGTTTCAGGGGGATCCAAGTCGAACTCAGTGTTAGGCTTTTGGGAAAGGGAGTCGGCTGCAAGTTGTTCTTTACCGGGTCGGTAAATGATGTTTGTGTCGAAGAATTCAAGTTCGTCTACAAAACGAGCGAGTCTTCGGTTAATATGCTTCTGAGTCTTAAAGTACTTGAGGGACTCGTGGTCGGTTTGGACCAGGACTGGCGAACCTTCAACATAACCACGAAAGTGTTTTAGTCCATGAACAACTGCTAATAATTCACGTTCTTGAGCTGAATAGTTCTGCTCAGTCTTCGAGAGTTTGCGGGATTCGAATGCAATTGGTCGTAAGTTTGAATTCTTAAGCTTCTTCTGATATGAATTATAATCAAAGCTTACACCTTTGGGTATTTCGAAATTGGTGTCCTGTTGGAGGACGGCGCCAATGTTGGTCCCAGACGCATCGGTGTCCAAAACAAAAGGTTTGAACGGCTCGGGATGTTGGAGGGGTACAGTCTTGCAGAGACAATCCTTGAGTTTTTCGAAAGCGGATTTCTCGCCATCCCCCCATATAATTGACGACCCAGGCTTGGGTGATCCTTCCGTCAACTTATAGAGAGGAGATGCAATTGAGGAAAACTTTAAGATAAAACGTTTATAATAGGTACATAAGTTTAGAAATCCACGGACTTGAGAAATGTTAGTTGGGGTCGGCCACTCAACTATCTTTTTGATTTTTTCCGGGTTTGTTCTGATACCATTTCCATCTACGATATGACCCAAGAATAATAGTGACGATTTCCCAAACTTGCACTTCTTTCCTGATACTACTAAACCTTCTTTCTTCAAAATTTCGAAAACAGCCTTGACATGTTCCTTGTGATCTTCTTCTGTTTTCGAGTAGATAATGACATCATCTAAATAGACCAATGCAAATTTATCAATAACATCTTTTAGCATAGTGTTCATCATTTCTTGGAAGGTCGCAGGAGCGTTGCACAGCCCAAAGGGCATCACCTTCCATTGAAAATGACCAAACCTACAAGTAAACGCAGTTTTCTGCTTATCCTCGCCGTGCATTGGGACTTGCCAAAATCCAGATTTCAAGTCAATAGTGGAGAAATACTTGGAACCGGAGAGAAACAAATAAGCATCGTCGATGCGAGGAAGAGGGTAAGCGTTTTTTCTTGTGACTTTGTTTAGTGCTCGATAATCAACACATACTCTGTTTGATCCATCAGGCTTCTTGACCAGTAATAGTGGCGAGCTCCAAGGTGAATCAGAGGGTTCGATGATGCCTTGAGCCAAGCTTTCTTCTACAAATTGTTTGATGATTGCGTGTTCAGGGGGAGTATGGGGTCTTCCGTGAGTTTTAATTGGTCTTGCGTCACCAGTATCAATATGATGTTGGTACTTACTGTTGACTGTCGAAATTTCTTCTTTCCAGCATTCAGGTGCTACTTGCTTAGCTAGTCGTTCCAAAAGGTCACCATAGGAAGCATCGTCCATAGTAAAGAGTTTTGGTTTGTAGGATCTGGGTCTGACGATGAATCCATTTTTGACGATATAATTTCCAGTGGTGTGATTAACAAGTGGGCTGGTTTCTCTTAACCACGGTAGACCAAGAATGAGAGAAATATTAGGAAGAGGGAGGATGAAAGCCTTGATATCACATTTGAAGGTTGCCATGCTACGATCGTCTTCAAATTCAAGTTCGAATAGGGCGATCTTGGTGCAGGCTTCTTCTGCTCCGTTAGCGAGTCGGACCCCTTGTCGGTTGACTGTTCTGATTTCAATTCTGCTAGGACATAATTGCTTCATCTTGTCAATGCGTTCTGATGAGATGTAATTAGCGGCGGCTCCGCTGTCAATGATAGCGTCGAGGGAATAGTTGTGAAATAAGCAGGGGTAGATAGGAAGGGAAGTCTTGTTGGTTTCTTCATGTGAAGCCAAGTCCAAGTGAGCTCCAAAGTAATCCTTCTTCATAGAGAGAGGTGCCATTTTGACGACTGATAAATCAAGACGGTCGGTGTCTGCAAAGCCCAAGTCAACTGCTTGCGGCTTCATATCTTCATAGTCGGTGATGTTCGATCCAACTTCCATAAGTTCCCCTGTTGATGCGACGGCGGCGATACTCGAGTCATCGTCATTGGGAGTGCATACAGAGTCGAAGTTGTCCCTGTCAGCCCAGCTTGTGTACGAAGTTTTGAGGATGTGGTTCCACTCTTCTACACTTGCTAGTTCACGTTCGGCTAATTCGACAGGGTCAGGAAAATTGAAAGGGGAAGGGGATCGAGCAGTGGTATATTGATAACCATCAATAAGGGAGCGATCCAACTTCATCTTCTTGTCCGGGTTCAATTTGAGTTGTCTTTCAATGTCCAGATAGTACATATCATGCTTGTTTTCGGGATCATGAGCAGGTATATGTTCGACGGGAGTGTCTTGTCTGGCGGGGCGTTTATTATTGACGTTGTTGATTTGTTGGGCATCTAGTTCAAAGAAGGTAACACCGTTAGAGGTGGTTGGAGGGCTCTCCTCGTTTCCATAAGCTTTGCAAGACTTACAACAACGATAATCTTCTGCTTCCTTCATAACTCGACCAACTGCTTCTCTTTCTTTTTGTAAATCAATGAGGGTTTCAGGATCGATATCATTTAATGCTTCGAGATAATGCTTCTTGTATTCTTCAAGATCTTCTCGACCATCTTCGGTGGGTCCATTAAGTGATTCAGAAGATTCCTTTGAGGCTCGGTAGATATGTCCATTGGCGTCAGAGAACGGGGTCATGAATGGTTCTTCAGCCTTGAGCTCGTGATCTTGGAATGGTGGAATGAAAGAGTCAAAAGGATTGGAAGAATCAGGGAAATAAGTAGGTAGGTGATCCATGATCAATAAATTGGGTTTTCGACGGTCGGAGTTGTTGAAACGGTTCTTCGTTCCGTGGAAGGGTTTCTTTTTGTTGTTTCGGGGACACTTATCAGCCATGTGTCCCTTGCCGTGACAACTGTAGCATTCGACGTTGGTTAAGTCGACCGCGTCTAAGTCCATTGGTCCTGAACTGTTAGTGACGACGTGGGGCTTGCCGAAGGAGTTCGATTGTCGGAAATGACTGTTGCGGTTGAAGTTGTAGCTGGGTTTCTTGTCTGAGTTCTTGCTGTTAGAGGGTGATTTATTTTCATATCCTTTGAAATTTCTGTTGTTAATCTTGACTGTTTGCTCGGCTTCTCTTGCAGCTGAGTATAATAATTCCATGTCCTTCTTTGACCTGATGCCTTCTTTATTGTTGATCTTTTCTCTGTAATGGGCGGGGAGCTTGTCCATGAATTTAAACTTGCGTGATTCAAAAGTGAGAACTTCTAAAGGTATGTATGCCATTAATCGACGAAATCTGAGTATGTAGTCATTGATGTCTCCTTTGTAGTAACATACTTTAATCTTCTCAAAGACTTCTTCGACCATCATGTCGAAATTATATTGACCTAAGAACTGTTCCTTGAAGCTTTGATAGTCGGTAATAGCACCACCTTGAGACTTGCGGACTTCATGCCAAAACATGTGAGTTTCCTCGTCGAGGTACGATCCCAACATCTCGCCCCAGGAGGACTCAGGATATCTATGCATCCTAAAATTTGATTCTAATTCGGAGAACCAGAGAGTCGGATTGTCACCATAACCAGTAAATTTTCTGGGCTCGGCGCGGAAAGCGTCGGGCTTGGTTGGAGCTGGGGTTTGGTTACGATTGTGGAGTAAGTTCTCTAGGTGGCCGATCTGATTGGATTGTTGTTGAAATACATTTTGATTCTGTTGACGGAGATCATTGATTTCGCGAGCGTGGTTTTGCTCTCGTTGGTGCAGTTCGATACCGAATTGCTCAAGTTGAGCGCGGATTAGCCGAAGATCTTCGGCAGGGATTGAAACGAATCCATTGGGTTCTTCCATCTTCAATGGTATGCTGTTCGTAAAAGAGTTAAAGGTGGAATTAAAAAATAGTTCTTTTAAGGGTAGACTTGATCAGAGTCTAAAAATACGTACGTGAATTCTTCAAAAAGAATGTTAAGTGATTCAAAAATCGAGTTTGCTAAAAAGCGCGATAAAAGGTTTTGATAAACGGTGATGAGGTTGTTAACGATTTGTAAGGTGTTTGTAGGTGGTTCTGTGTGTGATGGGAGAAAAGAATCTTTTAATACTTCTAACTGATCGAGGGAAGAGTGTCGTAGGAGGTTGGAATAGCTAGCTAAGAAATTCTAAAAACTTACGATGATAAGGGTATGGGTGCGAGGGTTTGTAACTTTGGTGGTTGTTGGTTCCGATGGGGATATCTAAGTCGGAATTTCGAAGGAAAGCACAAAGTTAGGAAAACAAACAGAAGCACGGATTAACTTATTGAACTCTTTCGATATCAGGGTTGAGTGATTGAAAGTTAGAGAGAAAAAAAAGATAATGAAAACACACAAATAATTATTTGTGATTCTACTCACTTTCAAGTGGCGGAAAATAAGTAGGAAGTAACTTGAGGTTGCATTTCCTTGGGAGATGAGAGCTATTTATATACGCGAGCATCTCGGAGTGAGGTACGGATAAGGAAACGACAATCTGGTGATACAACGAGAGATGATCGACGATCATCGTGATACAAGATAAGTGGAGGAGGGTTATGGCCGAATCCGGTACTGCTGGATTCGGTCTACAATTAGTGACTTGAAAGGGCGGTACATGATCGGGACGGATCTGGAAGATCCGTTTACAAGTAAAGTAAAGAGAATAGAGAATAGAAAATAGAATGAAATGAAAAGCATAAAAGCAGAGTAATGCGCTAAAAGCGCGTACAATAAGAAACAAAGGGAAAGTCCAAATTAGGGAATCACACTCGTCCAAGAACGGTGGAGCATATGCCTTGATCCAAAAGCTTTACTCAAGATAGGAAAAATGCCGGGGTCAAAAGTGACATCATGATCCAGGGTCTGATTCGGGATTGACGTCCATGATCAACCTGACCAATCTCGCCACTACATACTGAGCACATTGAGTCTGCTCGCTCCGCCAAAAGATTTCCATAGCCCACTTCCTCAGAAAATAAAGTCACACAGAACCTACTTAACGTGTGAACACAGTAACCAGAAATACCAGGCTTAAGGTGTTATGGCCCTTCCTTTAAAGCTCACTATAATTTTTAGCACCTCCACATCCTAACCTCCCATATGCGCATTCAACTATGCCATCATGATTCTATTCTGAGTCAGGTTTGATTTTGTACATCACCAGTACACCAAGCCATCAGTAAGCTTGGTCTTTGAGCGTCGAATAAGAACACATAAAAGCACCTTGTAATATAGCCAGCTTGTTATGAGAACATATCAGTTCAAACAAAATCAATTGATCACTTGTGCAATTTGTGGCAAACAAGTCAAGTGTTTTTCAAATATGTTCTGTTTATTTATTTCGAAAAAAGAAGTTTCGATCAATGATTCTTACTTTTGAATCCATTTTTGTAAACAAAGAACAATTCATTTCTAAAAAAAAAGTATCGAAGAAGAAAATAATGAAAATGTAGTTTTTTATTTCATCCATCTACCAAAATAAGCTTCAAAAACGCTCCTAAAATAAAAAAAAACAGGTTTTGATCAGGTTGAATTCTACTGAATATCAAAATGTTTTATAAAAATCAAAAGATTCTTACAAGATTGTCCATTTTCGATTTTCTGCTTCTTGGAAAACCAAAGATCTAGGTCCATAAAAGACCTAAAACAAAAATGATCAAATTTCAAAAAACAAATCCCAATCTTTCTCCTCAAGAAATTGAAGTAAAAAGTGAGATTGTAACTTACCTGATCATCAACTTCATCTTGATGTCTAGGTAAACAATGCATAAATTTCCAATTGTTTTTAGCATTACCCATCTTACATAATTCTTCTGTGATTTGATATCCTTCAAAATCTTTTAATCTACGTTTCATCTCATCTTCTTGTCCCATTGAAATCCTAAAGGAACCCGGAAAAAGCATTTTTTATATATCATTCTGTCTTTTCAAGGAAAAAAAGAGTTTTTCAAGATGAAGACACACACTTACCATGTATCTGTTACAATCACATCAGCATCTTTTATAGCTTCCAGCGGATCATGGAAATGAAGCAATTTGCCCCCTCTATGAACGTCTGAGTCTTCAACCAAACCAAGCTTCATCCTTTCCAAGACCCTAGGCTCTAATTCATAACCCTTGGGAGTAGCAATATTCAAATTGATACCTAATCTAGGATAACTAACAATCATATCATTCAATACATTATTTGAATCTCCGATCCATGCGATATTCAATCCATTTAATGAAGACAAGTTCCTTGAATGTGGAAAGAATGTTTCGAGGAGGGTTACTAAACTTGCTAAGATTTGAGTTGGATGGTATAGTGATGATAATGCATTGATAACAGGTACAGTAGAATTTTCAGCTAATAGCTAAACATGATCGACAAAATCAAACTTCAATATCGGAAACCGCGGGTTTTTCTCAAAAAGTTTGATTACTTACCTCAATTTCAGAATGATCACCAACTCTAGCCATAATTCCATCAATCATACTAGAAACAACTTTAGCAGTATCAAATAAACTTTCATTCACACCCAATTGAATTTCATTAGGCCCTAAGAATAATGCATGGCCACCTAATAAATTGATTGAACTTTCACTTGCGATTCTAGTTCTAGTAGATCGTTTACTGAACATTAATCCAATCGTTTTGTTATTTAATAATTTATTTTTGATGGCTTTAATCTCATTTGGATCAGAATTTGTATGTAAGTTTGATAAATCATTGGAGTGAGAAATTGAATGATCTTTGACGATTTTTTTTGCATTGATTGCATATGATACTAATGATTGGATTTCATTGATAGATAAATCTGCAAGTGTTAATAAATGAGGTGGTTTTAAAATTTTCTTTTCATCTTGATTCTGATTTTGATTGTATAAATTTAAATTTGAATGAAAACTTCTTCTGAGCGAAGGTAATTTCTTAAATTGGTTTGGATTGACCTGAAATTTGATTTGATTGAATATAGTTGAATTCAATGTCTTCATCTTCTCTGCTTTCTTGCTCTTCCTTCTTTTTTCTTGGATTTGATGTGGCTAGTTTTTTTAGTTTTTCAAATTCCCACACTTTGCAATCTGTATTGAAAACAACATAAACCCGAAAACTCGTTATAAAGCTTTTATGCTTATCTTCCCATATCCTGTCAAGCTATAAAGCTTTTATGCTTATCTGATCTTCCAAATCAACCTGGCACGCCTACGCCTCAAAAAGTACACCTCAGCATCTAACAATCTTGCTCAATCACAAATACCATGATTATATTGCATCCTGATTTTGTGAAAATATCTTGTGAGCGCAGTTTGACGGTGATCAAGTTTGATTGAGTCAACATTGTATCCATATCAAGTGTATCATTAGATTATACTCATATTTAAAACATGCCAAAAAGACCGTGTCAGTCTCAAAAACTAGGGTTACAGTCATTCATTGTTAGAAGATAGTACGTTCCAGATATGTTACAAGACTTTAAATAAATAAATAAAAAACATCGAGATGAGGCAATGGAAATTGAAATCAAAAGGAATTACTAATTAGCACACTACTAGGTTGAGCTTATATATTGAACTAGGTATATGAGACACTATGCGATCCCTGAATAGTCTTTCACCATGTGTTAAGACTTCTTTGTTGAGTGAGAGGGACGATGGAAGATATGATAGCTGAAAATTAGAAAGATGCGTGCTCCGCGAATGCCGTATCACAATGTGAATATATAGACCAACATATACAGCTCCATTTTTGAATAATTTGTCTTGATTGATTCAGAATCCAAACAGTTCTTGATCTGCAAGCGTATATGGACTAAAAGTAGCTTGTGGGCCCGGGATTTCCGGTAAGGGAATCTCAGATTCTAACACATGGAGCTGCCTTTGATGTCTATAATCAAAATGAGCAAGTTAGTCCGACTTCACAAGATGATTCATAAGAATTTAAGTATCGCGAACCTTCTCAAGTTTGATAAATTCGAAAACGACCGTCCACATACGTTGCAAAAGTTGGCTATAAGCGGAAAGAAAGAGATCAATTAGTTTGAGATTTTACAGGAAAGATACATAGAGCCCAGTGATAAATTTGAGACTCACATCGTTCACCAGTATGAACGCTACTGTGCAATAGCAATGCACTCGGCCGATTGAAATCTTTGCCGCAGATATGACATCTAACGAGAGTTTGATTGAGTGTTGAATAAAAACATCAAGTGAATTCGGGACACTTACATATGCGTCCGTTTCCTCTTGGGCTTATCTGTCTTACTCTTCGACAGGTCCGAGATCGACGATGCGGAAGACAGTGAATTTTTGAGGCTTTGTATTCTACCACCCTCGGACTTGCTCAATCTTGGATCAGGATATGGTGCAGATGAAACAAACCCGTGGGCTCTCGAGACGGAATACGCTGATTGGTCAACAGTGTGACGTTTCTGGATAGGGATGTTTGAAAAAAGATGTGGAGCGCTAGGAATCGAAATGCAAGAGATTATACCAGACATAGGTGTAGCCGTGTTCTTAAGAGGCGTTGGAACAGAGCTGTCCAATAGCTCAGGTGTGGTGTCAGAAATGGCTCCGTGGCTGGAGGCAAACACAGGCCTATCATGTAGGTGTATTTCCGGGTGTGATTTTTCAAACGTTGGGAGTGGAGCAGCCTGGTTAAAAGACCTCGGCGAAAACGACTCTGCAGACATACCATGAACGTCCGAGTGTACCTTGGAATAAGGTTTCTGAGGACTCCAAGGTTGATTGAGCGTAATGCCATCAAACGCGCCGCGACTAGATGGCGTCGGTCGACGGGAAGAGCTTAGATCCGGAAGTGATCCGGTCTCGAGACGAAATTCTTCATGAGGTGCACAAGTCAAAGGCATAGAATTGGAGCCGTAGTTTTTGAATGAAGTGTGTTGATTGATGTAATGTGGTTCTTGCTGGCCTGGCCATTTCCCTGCAATTGGTTTCGATACCTCATTTTGAGAAGGGTCGCAATATGATAAAGTATCTGTCCATTCCAACACGGAGGGACGTGTATTGGAAAGGCAAACGGGTGCGTATAGTGCTGGTCGGGACTCCTCGTGTCTTGCGGGCGTTGAAAACAGATCACTCTGATCATGACGGCTTCCGAGATTGCGGTTGGCATCAGAGTTCATGAGCATTTCAACGTGATTGGTGAGGCCCAGGATATAGGACATCGGATCGTTGGTACCATTGTAATCAGTTGCCGGACTTTGCTCACGAGCCAATGGTGGTTTAAACAGGGCACGCCCGGAAGAAGTTTTCAAATTAAGCGCAAAGGCATCTCCTGTTTGATCACCTGAGTCAAGGGGAAAAACAAGACCACTGCTGGGCTCAGTCTCGCCTTGATCAATTCGATCACCATGCTGGTACGTCCTAGTGAACCCAAGGCGCGGGAGGCTTGTGGCAGGTTTCTGTCAAGAACAGTAAGTTAGAGACTTGTAACAAGTTTATGTAAGACACAGAAATCAAATGAGATCCTACATTATCGATCATTTCTCCTTGCATGCATGCCCACAGAGCATCGGTGCTGGGGATACGAGGCCGAGATACGTGCTGGTAATCGCCTTGCTCGGCGTGTGGCATTTCACCTGTCGCATATATTCCGCAATGTGGTTGACCCGAGGTATTCAACATATTGGTTGGAGTCCCAGTAGAGCGCGTCGACAATAGATAGAAATTGTCCAATGGAAAGATTGAAGCAGTAGCACTGAAATATGATGTCACCTTTGGACACTGTCTGAAATTAAAAAGATGAAGCCAAGGAGAGCCTTGAAAGGAAGAAGAAGAGATTGCCTTCTGGAATTATCTAAGAGATAAACAGGAGGTAGAGGGTGATCTGTTATTTATAAAAGCAGTGGGCATAACATCGGTGCGGTAAATAATCATGTCTTGGATGAGATTTGCTAATACCCGCGCGCAAAAAAGACTCACGCACGAAAAATGATTGAAAGCCAATAGTGTAATTGAATCTTTTGGAGAGTCCGTGAAATGGACGAGAGATGAGGGTAGCAAATTTCCACTAAACCAGTTGAGCGAGAAGAATGATGATGCTGATTGGAGCTTGCCTGATCAGTTGACAGATTGTAAAGTGCGCTGTGATCACGAAAATCGATAGCAATCACGGTATCGAAGTTTGTTGAATGGTAAATTGGTTGATTGCTTCTGGATCGAAATAATTCTCTCAAAGTTTTAAATAAGATGAACACTTGATGCTCAAGGAGGATGATAAGCTTTAGTAAATCTTGAATAATTAGACGCGTGAGCTTGACTCGAGTGAGCCTCTTTGTCAAGAGGTATTTCAATCTGAATGATCAAAGGTAACAACAAATGAGAAGAAAGAATTGAAGGAAGACGGTTGTTACAGGCAGTGAAGCTATTGCTTATTTAATATAAAGATGAAAAAGATACCAACATCTCGAATGTAAACCCAAATCGTCGCTTGAAGGACACGATCCATGACAAAAGAATCACAATTTTAATCAATTAACATTCGATTTAGGAAAAGGTACACAGTCAATGTGGGATAATCTTAATAGGTCCTAGGTTAACCGCTTCCACAATGACCAAAGTGTTATTGGTTATTTGCATCGTTTTTCAAATTCACAAAAAAGTTATGGTCAAGACAAGAGCTGTGTTTTAAGAGCGACGTACAGGTCTATCAGCATGACTTCTGTCCAATTTCAAAAAAATGACAGAAGGTTTCACAGAACAACGAAAACCACAATTATGGTGGGATCTATCGTTTGTTACCAATTTCAAGGAAGCCTTTGATCGATGAAAATTTAACACAGGAAAAGTTTGATTGAGTTACGAATTCGATTTGATTCGATGATAAGCATTCGAGCCGCACAGCCTCAGGATAGCCACTTTGCAGGGCTTGATCGCGTAAGCTGAATAAATGGGCTCTTGGTGATAAATGCGATGACCATATTCACAAACAACATTGGGTTATGCAGTCAAAGATGATGTGAATCTTTTCAGGCCGTTACAGGCTTACCTGAGCCCCTCCTGGCGCGCCGCTCGTGCCCCCTCGAACTGCTTGACTCTTCATGCGCCGTTCGTGTGCTCTTGATTCGATTGGCCATGGCGGTACACTGGTTTTTCAGCAATTTTTGACTGCTTTCGAAATCATTGTTTGGCAAGAAAAATCAAATCGCGATGCATTCAAAATTTTCTAAAGCGAACACCATCAAACTATTTGGCAATTTTTTATCAACGTTTTTTTTAATATTCCTCAGGTTTTATACAAGTGGTTTACAAAGTGAAGCTCTTTTTAGGGTAATCAAACGATAGACTAGGAACTCTCAAACAAACAAAATCTGCTCCAAGTAAACTGTTTTCTGAAATTTTGGTTTCGCACAGTCATTTAGGAAAACTGTGAAGCCTCATAAGCAGGTTGATGTACTCATTTCATGGGCCCATTGAGCTTCAAGTCCCATTCCTGTGTATCAAGTAAACAAAGAATGGTATCAAATCAGCTATCTAAATCCCATATTATCTCTGATACAAAAATCAAAATGATATATACGTACTAAGATTTCTTCGTATGTTAAATTGGACACAAAATGACACTGAATCCCATGAGATTTGAAACTTCTGACCAGTGGTTCATCAGATATGCTATGATCCCCCAAACGATCAATAAAGATGAAATGTTTTAAATTTGGTGGTTTTGTGAGAACATCATCACCAAGATTTTCTAAAGCTGTCTGCCAATACTCTTTTGCGCCTCTTAAGTCCGTTACCAAAGTTCGAATGGTTTTAAAGATTGGCCGTTGAAGCCATGCGAGAGTCGGCGTGTCCTCAAAATCTAATGCAATCCACCATGTGAAACAACGCGTAACACGGAGTTTTGGAAACGTGATTTCTGACAGATCATTTAAAAAATGATTAGAAAACATTTCTGTAAATAGATATTCTAGATTGTCCTTCAAGGGCTCGATTAATATCCTCACGTCTTGATCATCTGATGTGATATATTCAATTGCTTTCAGACTATCTTTTGTAGCTTTGCATAGATGAGAGATTGCTTCTGTGTTACCTTCTTGAATATCAAACCACAAGTGTCTCAATCTTGGTAAAGCTTGAGGTTCTAAGTGCAAAATTTCTAGATCATCAAAGTAAATTGTCAAAGATTCCAAGCTCGGAGTAGTGTTGAGTATCTCCACTAATGATTTAGAATCATTATTACTTCCTGGTGGTATGTTCCCTAATCTTGAAATATACAATTTCTTCAGACATTTGATTTGTTTTATCGCTCCGATCAATTCTGGTGAGAAACCCATCGAGTTGGTAAACTTGAAGGTCAAGTCAGTCAAGTTTTGGCCTATGGTTTCAATCAGTTCTGTCGCATGATGCATCAAGACCGGAACAAACGTGAAATTGAATATCTCAAGTTCATCTAGATCCCGTCGAAAACCTGGTAATCCTTCATCGGGGTTTTCAACACCCAAAGGATCCCAGTATACTATCTTTTCAATGGAAAGTCGCCTGACCGGAGATAAAATCGAATCCAGGTGTGAATCTCTGCAGTATTTAACTATAGATTCCACACTTCTTGGTGTAGGCAAATGAATTGTATGAAATGCGAGCTTTGGAATAAGTTTAGCCCAAGATTTGCAAATCAAGCGTAACCGGAGGAGTTCCTTCGTTGAAGATGGGCGAGAAAATGGTATGGCGGCACTGTTACAGGTCTCTGAACGCCCAGTGTTGAATTGGGAAATGAAGGATTCCATGATCAGATATACTACTTCGAGTGGAACCCGTCGACTTCCTGGTATGGTGTCTGGTGGCGATGGTAAAATCGGCATTGTTTTGTGTTGGGAGATTGAGCGGTTGGAGTTGAAGAATAATGGACGAAGAATAAGAAGAGCCAGTGAGGAATAACAAGTTATTGGACAAGACCTGAAGTATATGACGATCAGTGTTGAGAAACATTGGTTACTCGGTTCCCTCAGCCTGCAGGGTCATTCACCGTTCTTGGTTTGCTTCTTGATCCTTGCATTGTTTACGCTTCACCTGCACTTGCCATCTTCGTCCGGCTCTATTGATATCTTTTGTCTTACATATTCACTTACTTGTGAAAAGCACGATACGACTTTTTAAAGAATGGCTGTTTTTGTGTAGCTCTGCTTTCGTCATTTTTTTGTTGCTAGAAGTTCATGTTACCTTTGTTGTCTCTGTCCTGTATTTTCTTTCGAGACTTGTCGTCTCTCCATGGGTGCGTCTCTGACATTGTGTTCTTTCTTTTCAATCAATCGAATTCATTGTCTTCTCAATCCAATAAGTAACTTCCTTATAAGTCTATGAAAAGCAACAAGAATATTTACAAAGAGTCCTTATCTGTTAGGATTCTCATGTCTTTTCCTTTATGAAATGAACATGTTTGTCAAGAAATTGGGTTGACAAATTTCAAGTTCAACTTGACCAAATTTTGGCCGAGAAATCCAATGACTTCTACCGCCTGCTCCATGAAAATTGGAAAGGTACATTCCGGTACATTTGACTTCATCCGATATTCCACCACATGATACCATGCCGTATAGTGACTCAATGGTAATTAGGCGCTTGGCGTATCACTCAACCCGTTAAGAGGAGAGGCTTTGGTTTGTGCTGAATCATGTCGTTGGCAGTCGCCTCTGATACTCCCGATTTGAGCTTCCTTTTCTTTTGGTACGAAGAGTGTACCTCAATATCTCTAGAAGATGGCTAACAAATGTCTTCACAAGGATTTACAAAGCGCAGGAAAATTCAAAAATAAATCAGATCTTTTGTGCCTCTGAGATGTGTCGTTCCATCAAGTCATTCAGCGTGAATAGGACGGAGGGTAGGCCAAAATTGGTCGCTGTTGCGCGCTTCAATGCTATTTACACGCAACCTGCGATGAGCTATATACGACAGAGCTTTGAGAATCCCGATCATCAAGGATGAAGCCACAGAGAGCCTCAGAGAGCCACATCATGAGAAGCAATGTATCATTAACCCGACGAGGCCAAGAAGCCAAGGACCGAGCTGGACCGAGGCTAGACTAGTGAACTTTAATTCAGAATTTACATACATACCCCTCCAATTCAATCACATTTTCATAAATGGCACCAATCTTCACAAATTCATTTTCATCCATACGATCAAAGTCAAAATACATCAAAACTCCTTTCCAGTCGTTCTTGAGCTCATTGCACGCTCGTTTTTTGCAGTTCCTTTCGATTTAACCTCCATTTGTTCTTCCAGCGTATTTCTCTCGCTTTACATGCATATCTGAGACCCAGGACTATAAGTTTTAAACACACGAGAGCGCGTCTATCGTTTGTGATCAAATCAAAAACTTTACCAGCCGCATACAGCGATACAAACGCGACATGCAATAATCGTTGTCATCGAATTTGATCTTAAATACCCTGTCAGGCGTCAGTTGGCATCAATCCTCTATCCTACTTACACACATCACCACCATGGGCTGGTCTATGCCTCCAACCGGTCTTGCTTCACTGACTCACTACGATCTACCTCTCAATTATTTGGCCGCGTACGTTATTTTCCCCATCTATTTCAAGGTCACTTATACTTTGGGGTGCACTTTCAGCTCGTTGCAACCCAGATCTTTGCTCTCAATTTGTCGGACGCATTGTTACAAAGACTTGGGGTCATATTACACAGCTTCTGACATCCGTCCTGCTTTCTTCTGATTTGAAATGTCTCCCTGGATTTGGCTCGTCTCTTCAGCTGCGGGTGCTCTACAGTTGCCACGAATTATCCGACCGCGGCAATCAGTTCATTGGCGTATAGTGACAAATCTTCTTACACACTTGGGGCTGGGCCAGGTTGCGGCCGATGTTTCAAGATCACCCTCATCTCGGCATGTCAAGCCTCACCACCCTTTGTGCTTGCCGACAGGCATGACAAACCAATCCCATCTGTTGTGGTCAAGATTGTAGATAAATGCCCTTCTCCAATGTATTGTGCAGCTACTGAGTCTAAAACAAACAGCGTTCGTCTGGCTCTCATTCACCTTTCGTATCTCATCAATCATTGCTGTGTGGACTTCATGTTCTGATCAAGTGTCAACGCGTTCATGATCTATAATATAATCAACAGGTGGGCTACACGATCCACTTCGATTTGGCACTTCCTTCGCCGGCTCTCAACTTATCATTCTTCCCATCCGACGCAGCGCTCTATGGTTACGAGGACTTTGGAGTCTGTAAGTAATTGTTGAGGGATCGAGCTGCTAAGCAAGGCACGCCTGGCAATCGTTGAATCTACGTACTGCACCTAATGAATTCAAACATTTCACCTTCAGGGAACGTGAAATATGAATCAATTTCTTGCGAGCACTGGGCAGGTTGGAAGAATGAATCAGCACTTGGAACCGATCCGAACTATCCAGCATCCAACTCACTATGCTGTCCTTACAATCCTGCATTTGTGAGTGTTACTTAACCTACCAAAAAAATCTTGTTGGACCCGCACAGAGTATTATCTGAGGCTAAATAACATTTTTTTAAAAATCCTTAATCCTGAACTAGACCAGCGAGGTGTGTCCAATTGCCCCAACCTCGAAACCTGCAAAGGAAAGCGCGCCCAAATCCGGGACTGCTACCCTTAGGATGTCTCACCTTTTATTGTCGAGCTTCCTGACTTTTCAACTTTCACTGGTTATCCTATCCGCTTGAATTTCACACCCTCTTTTTATCCTTCAATCGTTTACAAACCTTCTATATTTAACTCCTAAGAGTAACCCCTTCGATGATTCAGGGTATCTTCCTACAATCTTGAAGACCTACCTATTCATTTCTTCTGAGTGCTGTCTTCTTTTTTATCACGGCATAAGTTTTTGCACTTCCGTCAACACTACTGGATTAACTAGTGTACTTTAATTTACCATACATCACACCGAATGCAATTGTTGACCAAATGGGTACTGCACCAATTTTTACCGTACCTCACGCACCTTTAACACCTTGAACTACCCCCAGTGTGAATGGTGTCCGGGATGAGACAGATGAAACTCATACTCACATGGACATAATCACAATCTCCCAAGACACAATAAAATACTAATATTACTGGTGTGTACGTGATACTGATGACCATTTTCTCACAGTAAGGGTACTGCTTAAAAACATGGCAAGCAGAGGCCTCACTCTCTGCTCACCAATTCCTGCAAATTATATCATACCAGCAGCAATTGCCTTGCAATGACAAGTGGGACATACCCGCATTCCTCAAGAGGGTCATCTATTGATTCAGAGCACTCTCAAAAGTTTCATGTAAATCAAGTGTTACCCACTTAGAATTAAAAAAGGGGAGGTAGAATTTTGCACAGGGTGCTTTACACCGCCTACCCCAGTGTAAAGCCTGGCCGGTGTAAAATTCAAAAAAAGGCTTGTAATGTAGAATTTTACACCGGCTTAATTTTTTTCCGGGCTGTGTAATGAATCACTGTGTTTGAATGTCGGTGTAAAAATACGGTAGCCGGCCGTGAAGTTGAATTTTACACAAGAAGTTTTACACCGGAAAACCCGGTGCTAAGAATACCAGCGTAAAATTCAACTTCACGCCCAAAAATTAGAATTTTACACAGGCGCCGTTCACACCGAGCTAAGTTGTGTAAAAAAGCACAGTGTAAAATTGCAATTCAGCATGGACAAAGTACATTTTTACACTGTCCGCCAAGAAAATAATACCGCCTTTCATTTGGAAAAAAGGAAACAATAAAAACGAGAAAAACAAGCTATTTGAATGATCTTGTGTGTCAGCCACGTCGGTGTCGCTTAGTCCTGGGTTCTAATTCCGCTCCTACCTCCTCTTTGATGGGCACATCTTCCACCAGAGCCCATCCTTTCCAATTGCCTATATTTCAGAAAGAAAGAAACAATTTGTGGTTAGCAATCAAGACGTCGTTTTTTTTAATATAGATGACATACCTGTCTTCGCTTTTGTCACGTCTTTGGCACCCTTGCTTGCTACTTGGGATTTAGATTTGGTCACCTTTGTCACCTGCTTGTTACCCTTAACAGCAACTTCGGATTTGGCCTTACGAATCTTTCCGATAACTGTGACAATGTATATCAAGTTAAATGTCACACACCAGCAGCGTATCGGATGAAAAGAGTGAAGTCTATAGACGCACCTGATATCTTCGTCGTTGAAATCTTCGTCGTCGGATCAGTGTCTTGAGGGACTACGGTGACATCTTCCTCCTCGGAAAACATACCAGCTTCCAAGTGGATTAGTGACGTCTGGTTGAGATCAATGTCAAGATTGGTATTGTGGAGTTCAGGCGATGGAAGCCTTTCGTTGTCTTCGGTGAGCTGGCCTCCAAATGGGAAATTTTGACTTGGAATGGAGAAGGGAATCTTGGAGGTATTTTCAGGAAAGCTGTCCAAAAGATGACGTATAGAAGCCTTGATTTGGTCTAATTCCTCTCCCTGTGGCTTCCGCGAGTAGAACAACCAGCTGGTGTCCGGAGAACATCCTCCTATGCTGGTAATATCGGCACCTTCCAGCTGGGCTATCCCTCCATTTTCCCGTTCGTCATAAAGCCATACACCAAGTATTCCGTCGATTGAGCAAACCACTCTTGCCCAGTAATGGTAATTTGCCCAGTAACCACGCGAAACCAAAAAGTAATCAACTGTACCCGCCTTAAATCGAGCTGGCCAGTTGGTTTCTCCTTGGTAGCGTTCGCGCTCTGTAGGACTCAAACCTACAATGCCGTCAACTTGAAAGTAAAGATGGAGCGGGGCCTTAAGAGGGTCCGTGATTTCGATCTTGAAGATATTTTGAACAAAGGAAGGATTTTTGACGCTGACACCGGCCTTACGGTTCTTTTCAGGATGGCATTGACCGCATAATACGCCTTCCGTGCTGAGACCATCGGACATCCATCTCGAAATCAATAGGGGTACATCAGAATAAGATAATGAGGCATTGGTAAAGGTGGATGGAATGACATGAAGGGTTGCTCGACGTTGAGAATTGATGGTCGTATGCTCCGGATTACGAAGACACGCCACAGTCTTGATCATTGTGTGTTCAAAAAGGGGCCTGAGAGTCGATTTTCTGTCGTTTACTGGGGCTAGTAATTGCTCAATGAACCCGTCAGCGGATGCGAATTTGTCGTCCTCGTAAGATTTCGATGTTGCTTGAATTGCTTTATGTAACAAAGTTTGCCACCTTGTCATACTGGTGGCAAACTTTAATCCAGTGATTTCAAAGGTGCATCGCGCGGTGAAATGCCTTGCAAGCACATTCACTAAGTTGGTGCTGTTAACTGTTAAATATCGACTCCAAGTAGGGTTGAAGATTGCATATAGTGTCTCAAGTGTTGCTGTTTGCCAACATCTATTTCGAGTTCCAGGTGTATTGCCAGAAGAATAAGATTGATACGTAGTAAGTGGGTTTCTATTGATGTTCTGAGAGCCAATGGGACGACCGAGTTTCTTTGGTTGATCCTTTTTTTTTGATTTGTTTCCCAGGAGCTCTTCTGTAGTGTCAGGGGCACGTCCATCATTACGAGTGAATTTCCGTTTCGTGGGTGGTGCCATCCCAATGGCTTTGACAACTTGTTGCCAGGTGTCTTGCGAAGTGTTTCCATAAGTAATGGAAACACCTTTCTTCACCAAATGATAGTCCTTTTCCATACACTGAGCAAAGGCAATCAGTTGGATTATACCCGGTATAATCTCGCATTTACCATCACTAATTACGCAAAACCACCAGTTCATCAGCCACTTTGACATCAAATGGAGATAATTATACCAAAAACTTACCACAAAATATAATAGACACGATGCATGGATTCCTGTCCATTCGTGGTTGAAGGTAAATCCACCCGTCTTCGAGGTCCATCAGATTCGTCATCACTTTCTTCGCCAGGCAAGGGTGGATCATCGAGAGGTTTTTGTTTTCGGGCAGGGAAAAGCATGGATTGGATGTCTGCTGCACTCCACCATTCGATCCATTTCTTGGCCAGTGGGAATAATCGCCGCAATTCCTCAAATCGGGTGTCAAGGTCGTCTACACCAGGTCCGTCAGGAAGAAGTAAGTTTTTGCATTTCTTCTCCCACATGCCCTTTTGGTATAGCAATTGAAAAAAAACATACAAACTGTCAGTGTGAAAGATACTTACGATTAATAAGTTTCTGAAGAAAGACTGACCACCTGTTTTAACTTGACAATCTTATGATTCTTCTTAATACGTGTAACGGCCTGCAGGAAATGCCATTCACATCCGTGTAACTTAGATAAAGCTGTGTTCTTATCGTTGCAATTAAAAACTTCCATGTAGGCTTCTTGAAATCCGAGTTTTTGAGCTAGTGAAAAATCTACGACTTGTTCTACCATCATATTTTTACTCTTCTCTGAAAGGTTAGTTTTTTGAATTTGTTGCAGTAAATTTTTGAAGTGTATCTTGTAGTGTAGCGCCTCAAGGCCGCCGAGCCATGTGAACAAGACGGGCACCCATCACTTGATGGTTTCACAATACTTTGAAGTTGTTAATAGATAACCCATTTTAAAAAATTGATAAGTTACATCAGAGAGTAGACCACTGGTATAGGTGTCTGATTGGTCATCGGGTTCAACCAACACCTCCGCCATCCAAGGAGTTTGGAATGAGATGTGCGCATCATCGCCAGAAATGGAAGAAGAAACAACAATGAGGCCTTTCCTAATAAACAAAATCAATCATAATATCAGAGCCAATTCTCGAATTTTTACAGAAAAAAACATTATACCTTGACCAATCCATCATGGTGCAAAGCCACTTATCTCCAGATTCAGGGTCTCGGGTGTTAGTCATTATCCCCGCCTTTTGTAGAAAATCACGTCGCAGGTAGCCGAGACGATCGGCATGTCCAAATGAAGGATGAAGATCGGTTACTGATCGAATTGGATCTTTACCCACGTGCGCCTGTCCGACCTGATAGATGAAAGATTATACACTTGTTCAATGGCCACATCATAAAGGACGAAATTGACATTACGTACCTTTAATCCTATAGGCCCTGTCTTTGTGTCATTGATGACACGCTCCTTCAACTTATCTTTTGAGATAGGATCGGCCTTCTTCGCCTCGGGCCACTCATGATAATGAGTACCTTGGTGACGAAGTAAAGCCCAGCCTTCCTTCTCTTGAGCATCTAACTCGGTATCAATACGACATTTGGCATCACATTTCACATGTTGTTGATAGCCGTCGCATGTAGATATGGGACAACTTTTAACTCTGGTGAAGAGTCATATTGACCGTTAGCTAAGTTCAACTAACTGGGTGTGAAGAGGAGTCAAATATTAGAATCACCCTTCTGAAATCTTGGCTAATTTTTTGCCCGAAGTTGGTGGAGAGCCAGCCAAAGGACAATTGCTGTTGGTGCATTTGATTACACCCAAACAGTAATACCTCCTCGCAATCCAATCCTTTTTCTTTGTGGTTTCTGATCGCATAGTATGAGTCCAAGCAATAAATCGAAAGTTTGTGGCGGGATGCTCGGGGTCATTGACATAGATGGTTTCACCATTTGGGTACGTCGGATAGTCTTCCTCGTCGAGATTGCAACCATGATCAATAAAAGTCTTATATATATTTTTATCGGTAGGCAGTTGGAGGTTAGGACGGCGTGGTAGGTTGGCCAGTGTGTCATCATGATCCTTAGGAGATCCAGGAACTGGCGACGACGTTATCTCTATCATTTCCAGATGTAAAGAAGGAGAAGGGGAAGAATCACGGGATGCAGCAGAATATTTAGATGGAGAAGCTGTGATCGCGCGGCTTGATACTGAAGTGGAAGTAGGTGACACCGTTGAGGATGAAGAAGCAACATATCGACAGTTTACAAATGTGGAATCAAAAGAATAAGGTAATTGAGATGATATAGTATCTTCTTTCCAGGAATATTGTGCGTCTGGTTCTGGTTTGCAAAGAGTAAAGCCTGGAGAGGAACTCCTTTCCGAAGTTTCTTCATTTCCAAAGGCACCATCATAGTGTGAGGCCGATTGACCCATCTTCGATTTAGAACCAACCTGATTCAAACAGGTCTCGTCTTTGAACTTGATTAACAAAAAAGTTGAGGAATTGGGTAAGAATCGTGCTTGAAAGCACCTCTTTGGGCGATAGGACGACAAAAGTTTCATCAAATATATTGTGAAGTTGATCGATATGGAATCAACTTCACAATATATCATCCATTGTCCGGTCTCACGGATGTGTGGGGAAGATCGATGTGGATCTTTGTCTGTTTGTTTGGTTCCTGATATGTAAGTATTCGAGGTATCTTCTCCTTGTTTGTTCGTCATGGGAATGAACTTCCATGGTTTGACCTTGCATGAAACATGTGTGGTGTAAAATAATTTCTTTGCGGTGTAAAATTATAAATTGGGACTCACATTGGTAATTTGGCACAGGGAACTTTGCACCAAAAAGGGTCAGTGTTACCCGGCCCGGTGCAAAATTCAAAGCTTCGCCCGGAGTCCGGATTTTAACACTGTAAATTATTACACTGTGTCTTTCTGTGTAAAAATTCCTGTGTAAATTTCCAGTTCACGGCCGGCTACCGTATTTTTACACTGACATTCAAACACTGTAATTATTTACACGGCCCAGAAAAAAATCAAGCCTGTGTAAAATTCTACATTACAAGCCCTTTTTTGAATTTTACACCGGCCGAGCTTTACACTGGGATGGTCAGTGTAAAGCACCCGGTGTAAAAATCTCCTACCCCATTAAAAAAGCAAGTTTAATCATGGAACAGACTATTGATAATCAAAACAGAAAATTGATAAGTATCTGACAAAGATGAATAGATGCAGCAGTCACGTGGACCATTGAGATAAGCAAAATTAAAGGGACATACCTAAGACAGAGACAACAACTCGCTGTTGAAAGGAAATCATTCCTTGCTTCATGAACAAATGGACATTTAAAAATCTTGGTAAGGGAGTCTCATTATACAAGTACCACTTAGTCATGATGAGATGGCAAGTTCCCGAGTGAGACATGTAAGATGACCTTGATTGTTCAGACTGCCTGCTTCATATGTAGACATTGTGCAGTGAGACATTGTATCGAGATATCATTCGAAAGTCTGAATTGGACTTCATCCTGGAGCTTTTGGGAACTACCAAGTGCAGGCAGCACGATATTACTCATGCTTAGATCTTGATAATGAGCTAAAGAGAGGGTGTGCAGAGTTCCCCTTTTGATTCAAGTGTATGTACATAGAAGCTCAAAGTCTTGGCTCGAGTAGCACATCGATGTCCGCAATCTGTGCTTTGCTTGCCGGAATCCCCGCAGACTCAGCGCGCGAACCCTCGACAAGAGCTTTCTAGCCTCAACTCACGGATTTGTGTCGGGTGATCATCAAAATTTAGTCAATTTCGTCACACCTGATGTCAATAAGTAACTATACAACTCTTACGTATCTAATAATTATTTGGACGATTACTAGTGAATCTAGATATAATGCGTCAAACAACTTTGAAAAAACTGTTGGTGGAGGAGCTAAGATTGATAAATGACTATTTTATAAAGATACACACGCTTCTTGATCAAGCTTTGATAAAGGTCATAAACACATTTCCCAGATATCATTGAGTTTGACCCTATGGAATCTGGTGAGACCAATCAACGGAAAAAAGTTGCATCACGCAATACCATTTGTTCTTCTGCCTCGGAGGCTGTTTATCGCCTTCAAGGTTTTGGACCCATCGTATCTAATGTGCATGGTCGGTATGGACGCGGAGGTACCCGTGATCATGATCTTCTCCAACCTACCCTGCATACCTGGTGCACGCTGGACCTTGTTAAGAGAGAAAACTTGATTGATGATGACGGGCAGAATAATCTCAAACATAGGGAGGCAATAGCCCTCGACTATAGCCCAATAAAGTGGGAAAAAGACGGGGATTTTGGAGTCAGCGCTATATAAATAAACATCAAGAGAGCGAGCGCACCATCTAATAATCGCAAGTATTCCAAAGTGTTTCGGTCGAGTCGAAATTCACGGTCGATGATGCCGATCGGACGCTGAGGAGTTGTCGTGTCAATGCTTCTAATTACGTGAATAAAGAAAAATCAGGTCGTGCTTACAGGATGGGCCCTGTGTTCAAGTTTTACGCCAAACGATATAGCTCGCAGGTAAGGATTCCAATGGGCCAATCGCACACCTTCCAACCCATGCTTTAGATGAGCCTCATGTATGTTCGATCGGTCGAAGCGGGGGTTGTGGACCAAGTCGTGTAACGTTTGTCGAAGTTTAGGAATCTCATCTGCGTGGGTCGTTGTAGCGGGCATCAGATAGTCTAACGCATGCGCTGTACCGTTGACAATAGTGTATGCCAAGGTTGAGACGGCTCGCAAGCAATCGGCTGTGAGCTCGTCAATAGAAAGTGGGATTCTTTGAGCATCATTCTCTACTCTTATGGTATCATAGAAGATCTTGGTGTCAGGAGAAGTATGCTTGATATCCGGTCTTTGACCAGATATGGTCTTGATGGAATCCTCGAGGACATCGATTGCACCTATGGTGAGCTTAGAAACTCCTCTTCTGATCAAATTTCCGATCGACTAAAGATGAACGAAGGCATGATCAGAGTTGATTCAACCGGAGAAGAGACCAAGATTTTTCTCTTACATTGGGAGGTGAAGATGCCTCAATATGTTGTTTGATTTGCCAAGCAAAACCCGAAGCGGCGACACGAGCAGAAGCTCTGGATTTGAAGGAGATTTGGTCATGTGCATTCAGATAGCAATAGCTGAAAGAGAACATCGTCAAATGATACTCGAGAAATTGTTCGGCTCGTTGTATAGAAAACTTACATGTCGCTTAATGCGCAGAGGAGAAGCTGCTGCGAGTGAATCCCAGTTTCCACAAGTCCAAAGATATGAGAAAGCCTTGAATGGAAATTCGTGATTGTGAATGTCAGATCTTGCATTTTGCATTTCTCTTTCTGTTGAAAGTTTAAGCTTACCATCCACATATCAATGGGTTGGTCACGTCCCGCGCTACATCGACAGTCTCATCGGTAGACACTGGGCTTCGTCTGGCCGAACATTGTTGGATGCGACTTTGAATGAACAACTTGTACTGTTCGGAGTTTTGTCTGGACATCGCCATCTCAACTGCCTGGTAAATAAGCTTGATGTTTGAATTCATCTTTGGCTGTAGAATCACAGAATGATCAGAAGAGGCTACTTCGAAGGACAACCCGATTTAGAAAACTGACCAAACCAAAAAGCAAGCTCATTCTTTCTACTTCGACTTTCGGAGTGTCTGATACAAATTAAACTGGTCAGAATTCTGAAAAAGATTCCGGTAAGAAGTAAGCATACCAGAAATCTCATAGACCATTGTTTTTCCGCCCGATTGTATGTGTTTGTAACCTAGGGACAAATGTGGAGTAGGAGTAGGTTGAAGCGAATATTGCAGGGCCTTTTGAGGGCCTATTTTCTCCAGAATCGAGTAGGAACTTTGAGGGGTTTTGAAAGGAACTGTATGTGTAGCAAAGAAGCTGATAAGCAATTCAATAAACAGCCTCAGGGGGTGATATTGGACGCACATAGTAGAGCAACGTCGTTGAATACATATTGATCCGGCCTGCGAGTGAAAAAGTGGAACAAGATGAGATGATTTGCCACCAACTACAGACACTACAGAAGATACTTACAAGTTATTGCGTATCAATTTTTGCAACATGCCACCGTAAGCCCCTTCTTGAACGTCCGGTTGACAGTCACGCAGGCCCCAATCCGTCATAGTGTCGGCAGTTGCAGAGTCCTAAGAAATGACACTTGTCAGCGAGTCTCTAGGATCAAACTGGTTCGAAGATAGGCGCTTTGAGATACTCACCGTGTAGAACCGATCTCCCCGAACAAGGGAAACTATGGACGTCAAAGAGAAATTAACAAGTGGTCGACAATCTTTCATGGTCACGGAGTGTGTGAAAGTGGCCAACCTGCATCACTCAAGATAGCCCGACTGTTTGTGTAATTTGGACACAACCCTGCTCCTAATCTTGGCTTCTTAGCTTCCTCACCATGCAAACCAACATGTAATGGAATGTTCGCAGGATGGCCGACAAGATCCTGCATAGCAGAAGCCTGGTGAAACCAACAAGAGATGTTTGAAGTCAGATTGAAGGGGCTACCGTGGGATTTAGGGGATTGATGAGGTTGAGTAGGAGCTTACCACAGAAGGATCCGAATTCCATTCCTCAAATGATTCAAATTCCTTCAAACCCAGAAAAGCTCTGAATTCATTCAGGGTGCAGGTTTTCCACACATCTCTGTTAATCCAGTCACCCACAACCACAAGTGAAACAAAAAGATGATGAGATAATGTCTAAAGACCATGTTTTACTCTTCAAAATACCTTGACGTACCTAGAAGTTCGCATTCCTTGACATTCAATCCATCTCATGGCTGCAGGTATATGGCGTGCTCCGAAAGTACCAGCAACTTCGTACGTAGAATCTTTCAAAATCTTTGCAATGTCCTCATCACGGAATTCACCGGTCTCTGAGTCCCTTTCGTAAACTCCTGCGGAGGTCAGCTCTGGTTGGCCACTTCTAGGAACGTTGACTTCGTATTTAGATAACTGCGCAATTCCAAGGTCGATAAGTGGGAGATAAGTGACTTTGCGAAGAGTTACACACAATAGAGACACACAAAAAGATAAACTAACCTTCCAATATCTAGGCTCTACCCCGTCTTCAGCATTAAGCTCCTTCTTCAATAAGGCGGCTGATTTTTTGATGGTCTCATGATTCACGTCCTCCCATTCTGAAAGGGGTCATAGTCAAATTTAATCGAATTGGAAAGAAATGGGAAAAGATATCTTACTTCTACTAGGAAGAGCCCGTTCAAACATACTCTCGATCCATTTCTAAGTCATATACATGTAAGTCATGATATGTACAGACATGAGTGACTATAACCGAACTCACACTTTGGGACCACGACATCGGAGCGTGCCAGCGATCTATCATGGCAGTCAATGCTCAGATAAATGACTATTGGGCATAACTGATTGATCACAAAACAAGATAAGGAGGATGCTTACATAGAGAATTGAATTCAACTGTGACTGAGTTTCCAGTAGCCTTAGGGGTACTCCCGAGGATACTTTTGATCGGAGCTCTAGGGTCGAGCGCCCAGTCACTGTCGGCTTGTGTAGTGTTTAAGATAGCCTGACGATTGGGAAGAAAGTACGTTCAACAAAAACTCAAAGCGATATGTTTGAAAACCGGCAGGAGAACAGTTCATCGGCTCGATTGATAAACTTACGCTGAGATAGTCGTGGAGAATCATCTCTACATAATAGCCGCAATTGATCAATCTGGCGGTGCCAAAAATCTCATCGTCTTGTTGCTGCAATTGCTCGGGACTGAGTTTCTCCAAATCGGCTGTCCAAGTTTTGCGTTCATTGATCTCCAGAAGCCTTTTAGCAACTCGATTATCTGATTGATTGAATGTGGATATCTTTCAGCGAAAGGCTTTTGTAATTCGTTCAATAGATTCACAAATAAACACTTACGGTTTCTAGAAAAGATTACAAGTAGAGCACACGATGCTGGAGGCATCACAAGTAATCGACTGGATGCAAAAGTGTCATTGTACAACAAGCCGCGGCCAAGGTCCTCTTTGTTGCGAATCTTGTCTTGTTCCTCTTGTCCGACTCCGTATAAAGGATCCAAGGAAAGATAAGAGGATGTCAAATTTTGCCATTGGCTTGCACGCGAGGATCCATTCCCGCTGTCACCGTATTGATTCGAATCGGTATCGGATCCCGGACCTTTAACTTCTGGACCAGTGTTAGTCCAGACTATGGTTCAAGTGTGAATTTCGAAATCAGTCACTAACAATCAGGTTGATGAAGTAAAGTAGATCAATCTCACAGATATCATGGATGATGATGTTGGCAAAGCCGAACAAGAGACTTGATATTCCAGCAGGATGAGGAACAAAACCTTCAAAACCCTCGGGACGACGCAGGATAGAATCGAACATCTCTTCCGGCTCCGCGACGTAAGGTGCGCGAGGGTGAAGTGCCTTGACAGATCTAGCATAGGGTTGATTGGCAGCACCAAGAAATGGGGAACCAATGATATTGTTGTTCCGACCATCGGGCGTTCTAAAGCGATGTTTGGGATTCAGATCAACAGTTGATGGATGCGAGAGGTCCTTTAGGCAAAAGAAGCAGTGAAAGTGAGGTGATTAACATTTCAATCGTGCAAAGGGAACTTGTGTTATAGAGACTTGAAAGGACTTACATTCCAGAGTATATCTATGAATTGACCTTGGACGTCATTCACCATCTTGTTGGGTGCATGTTGGTTTTTTCTACCAGACGTGGCTAACCAACCCACAACATCTTCCAGTTGCATCTTTCTATCATCTAGAGGTTTACCTACACTAGACAAAATGTTTATTATCATGGAAAGGTTTTCAGGAATTCTACCAGACAAAAGTTGTTGGACACTGAGGAATATGAGCGAAGTTGGAGTTTTGCTGTCGGTGAGCGCCACCTCGTCTTCATTGTTGAGACCACTATTTGAGCTACCTCTGGAGAACAGGTAATGTGACACGGAGCCAATGGTCTAAGACAGAGGAAACATCAAAAAACGAACATACACCAACGGGGAGAAATATGAGAAGAACTCACCTCCTGCAATTGAGAGGCTTTGCGCCAGACAGGCGAAGCGCTCAACGTCGGCAAGTCTTTTGCTTGACCAACAAGTAACAGATGAGTGTACCCTGCACTCTGCAGAAGAGCTTCACCTGGTTTGGGTTCGGCAGCATAACGGCTAGGGGGTCTAGTGGGTGTGGACATTGCGGAAGCTGGAAAACCGAACATCACATCAGTCTCAACTATTGACATGATCAAGTGGTGCTAAGAGAGTGACAAACTCGAACAGAAATGTGTAGCAGAAGATAAGTTTGGGAAAGGTAATGTAACTCGAATGAGGAACGATGAGAGGTTCTAATATTTTGGAATTGACGCAAGCGTGGAGATGGTAAGAGTGGAGGGCAGCTAGGGGTGGCTTGACTGCAATCAGTCTGGCAGTTGAAGTGATATTTATAGTCATCGGTCAACTGGCTGGCAAGACAAGAGAAGTAGTTGACCAAGAGCTCCAGATCACTCACAGCCGATGAACTTTGACTTTAATCCTCATCAGATATCAAACTCCAACTTCTTCAAATCTTTCAGAATCCGTTCTTCTAAGCCAATTCCATATGATCAAACATTTCAGTGCAGTGTACTCTGATGGCCGGTGCTTGAATTTCGAACACAGTTCAAAGTTGCTGTTCATTGCATCACAGCTCACAGCATCACAGCAATTGGCTTACGCAGAGTCTGGGAATGAATGGAGTATCTTCCGCACGATTGAAAAAAGCTGATATTGCATATTACATACCCTACCTAAACAAGTAAAAATGTAGGAAACTAGTCTAGCAGAAAAAACGGTCATCTTAGGTAACGAAAGTTAAAATGTCTTATCAACGAGTCTGTAAGCATCGGTCACGGGTAAGTCACCGCGTCTGTAACCGACTGCACTTCCCTAAGATATTCGTCATTCCGAATCAAATGGATTTTTGGTGATCAAAGCTGCAAAAATGGGGCATGGGGCCTAGGTATCGACTTCTCATGTCTAATCTTCAACTGCACCCTGCTAGCTAGCGTACTCAAGGTGCCGCTCAAGCCGAGAGGCTTTTTTACGATGCAAGCTTCTAATCGTTTGAGCGGCTCGAGCTTAACGAGGGATTTAGTTGAGTTTGACCGGGTAGAGGATAATGAGGTCAGTGGAATACCCCTCGGGATGTTTGGAATGATTCTATGTGCAAGTTGGTATAGTTGGTATAAGGGCCCGTTCGGCTCGATTTCCCAAAAGTTGTCACGCAAAAAGATTTTTGATTTTGCCCCTTTTTTGAGGGGCAAAATCAAAAACTTGAAACTCGGCTTTTCCATTACCGAACAGTCAACGAAAAAGGTCAACGAAAGATCATTTTGATCTTCGTTGACCACTTGATCACCGTTGGACTGTTCGGTAACGATGAAATGAAAAGAGATTTGAAAGAACTTTTTGATCGAAACTTGAAAATCGATCAAATCATTTTTAAAACTCATCGATTCATCCATCACGGTCATCAACGACCAAAAACACCGTTCCCTTTTGTTGACACTTCACGTCACTTGATTTACAACATCATGGACCATCGGCCTCGCTCTTCCCTTCAAACTCTCACACCCGAAAAACGTGTTAAAAATAAAAAGCTGCTTAAGCTGCAATTTCTCAAACAGCTCCTTGCTGTTCAACAGCAACAATTTCAAGTTTTCTGTTACTTTAGCACTGGTGTACAGGCCTGTGCAGCCCAAATTCTGCCTCATCTCACGAAAACTCCACGCCTTACATCCATCGTCAGCGGTCAGGCTTGGATTGATGAGCTCATAGCTAGTCCAAATGAATCAGTTTTCTACAAGAATCTTGGCATGTACAAACATGTTTTTTTTGAATTACGTTCTGTACTCAAAGAATCCGGAATTCTTTTCGACTCTTGTTTTATGACTTCAACTGAGAAGTTGGCTATCCTTCTCTATACTGTGGTAACTGGCCTTTCAAATCGTAAACTTCAGAATCGTTTTCAAAGATCAGCCGATAGCATTTCTAAGTGATTTTTTTTATACTTTATATTTTTTTTTTGCATTTTCACATAACTCTTTCTGACATGTATTCTTTTGACTAGGACAATCAATCACCTCATTAAAGGAATCTCTAATGATGGTGAATTACTTGGCAAATATATTCCGCTTCCCAATGCCAACACACCTCTCTCGGATACCTTTTCTGAGAATCCAAAGTTCATGCCGTATTTTAAAGACTGCATCGGTGCAATTGATGGTACCCACATCCCGGTCACTCCGCCAGCTTCCGAATACATTCCTTTCTTGAATCGTAAAGGATACACCTCTCAAAACGTCCTTGCTGCCTGTAATTTCAATATGGAGTTTATCTATTTATTGGTTGGAGCTGAAGGAAGTATGGCCGATGGCGCTCTTTGGACTTTGGCTCGAGGTCGGGACCTTACTATCCCTGCCGGAAAATATTATCTCGGTGATGCTGGCTTTGCTCTCACTGAAGAATGTATTGTTCCTTATCAAAAAGTTTGTTATCATCTACAAGAGTGAAAAAAAAAGGTTTCAAGTGAGATTGATTTCTTTTTCATCTTTTTTATCAATCTCATACTTATCTGCTTCTTTTTTTGTCTCTGCCACTCCTATCCTTTCATCTGAGACCAATGAATAAAGAAGAATTGTTCAATCTGCAACATGCTAGTGCGCGGAATGTCATTGAGTGCATCTTTGGAGTTTGCAAGAAGCGCTTTGTGATCATGGCGCATGGGTGTGAATACACAATCAAAATTCAAATTTCAATGGTTACAGTTATGTGCTTTATTCACAACTTCATTCGTGTTAAAGATCCAAAAGGTTCAGCTGAAGAATACCCTGAATTTGGTGATGGATTTATCCCCGACCCTCAAGATACTACAGAAGCGCCTACTCAAGAACAATCTGGTTATCTTCAAACATTTGGTAGTACTATTCAAGGTAATAGCTATGCCAAAGATCTCAGAGATAGAATTGCAGAAGATATGTGGAAGAATTACGTAACAGAGACTGAAAGAAGAAAGAAAGTAAATCAAAGTAGACAAAGACACGGACATCCTCCTATGTATCCTGATATTTAAAGCACTTGTAGCTCTTTTAACTCTTATCTTACAGCTCTCAATCAAGACATTTTCATTTTATACATGTACCATTAATTGTAAGTCTCAATCAAACAATTGTATCTTACATGGCATTTAAAAGTATTTTTATTTATATGTATCAATCAAACAATTTTATCTTACATGGAATTTAAAATTATCTTTATTTATATGTATCAATCAAACATTTTGTTTGTTTGTTCAATGATATATCCTTTCAACTCATATACAATTCATTGGAATCTCTCAATTCATCATAACACTTGTACTATTTAAAATTTCAAACACTAACTAATACTAATTAATCTGACATTGACTGCTACATTTGTATCAACATTTATATATACAAATGTACTTAATAATATTTTATAAGATTTAATAATTTTTTGTTTGAGAACAAAAGCCACTACATTTTCATTGAAAGGTTTCATTGAATTTTTATTTAAGATCAGAACTATATTTTTATAAGAACATTTAATATTTTTTTATTTGGAATCAGACGGTCACTGTACTTAGAGAAGACTAAACTTAATATGGATCAAGTTTGATTTCCATTTGATATCACACAGTCACTATACTTTTAATCTTGAAGAGAATAGTTAGAATCAGTAAGTGTGTATTGATAAATGATGAGAGAGAAAAGTACTTACTTTTTTTGTTGAGGATGTATTGGAGCCAACCATCACACTCGCTAGCTGGTGTATTGACATAAGTTTCAGCAATAAGAGGCTTTTCAGCAAATAAATCTAAGGCAATATAGTGTTGAGTGTTTTCTAAAGATGAAGTGTAAATCAAAGTAACAGCTGAAGCATGGGTTGAAGGTTTTTCATCTTGAATTTTTGGAGCTGCAGCGTCAATAGATGTTGAAGTTGAGGCAAAGGAGGATTGAATATTGGAGCCGAATTCCTTCATATTGGTGGACATTCCATTGAGTATTTGAACACCAGAACACTTCTTTGATTTAGTCGGAGCTTGAGCAGCTAAAGCTGCCTTAGACTTGCTGTGTTGCTTTGCTGCTGGAGCTTTGTCTTCGGAACTGGAGTCGTCCTTTGGCTTGGATTCGATTCCAAGTACGTCGGTCTTGTCAGAAGGTGATTTGAATGAGCCATGGGATGAATCAGGTGGAGGAGGAGAGAAACCGTGACGAAAGGCAGGAAAAGGGTTGGTAATGTCTTGATGTTTGGTCTGATTGACAATCGGGCTATCAAGAAAAGCCGGAAGAATCGATTGATTGATATTGAAAACCGGACTGCTAGAAGTCAAAGGGATGTCTTGAGGATTGGTGTGATTGACAATTGATCCTTTGACATACTTGGCTCTTGCTTTGTGACCCTCCAACAGGGTAGCAATCAAATCAAACAACAGAAATGGGTGGCCTCGGCATCTGAGGTAGTCCTTAGACTTTTTGCTCTGGAAGGAAAAAGAAACTTCAAAAAATACAAAACAAAATGAAAATGGAAAAGAAGACTGGGACATACATCATCAGTAATGATTGGGGCCCAGACCCGATCCGGTAACTTGATACATCCATCCTCCCAACCAGCACCACTCAAGCCATTTAAATACTTGTGATCGGTGTATAATTGAGTCAACTGTAAACGAAAAGAAATATCAACACTGAAATCATAAACAAAGATGAAAAAGAAAAAAAGACTTACAATATACCAGTGGTTCTTACAAGCCTTTGCGGTTTTGGGTGCACCAAGTTTAACTACACCAGTATCACATTTTTTGTTCTCACTTCCTCTAAGTTTCTCGGCAACCTTATTCCAAGTAGGAATCTTGAATCCATGAGCCGTAGTTCCGTTTTTGGGTCCAATGGCCGCGTTGGCAGGCTGACGTTCAGCAATGAGGACTTCAATCATGTTTTTATTGTTGCACCGCCAACATATTCACCTCGGATTACAAAATCCGAGGTATCCTTGGATGCAAAACCTCGGACAGAAGCTTCCCGAGGTTTTGATCCGAGGTTATCTCCAGGGCAAAAAAATTCCTCGGGCAAAAACCTCGGACAAGGTCTGTCCGAGGATTTGCCTCCGATGATGCCTCGGATTTCTCAACCCAAGG